TCATTATTCTGGAGGAGACTTCTTCCCACTTCCACGCTATAACTTTCCACCTATTTTCGATCTGGGCAGCCTTCTTAATTTCTGATTTCGTGTGGACATTCTATGTCCCCGTGTTTATTTTCACATTCATCGAAATTAGACACATGGAGTGACTTCCTGCAGAAAGACTTCACCACACCACGTCATTTTCTCCCTCCCATCCTAGTGAAGGAGGGTTTTCACTTTTATATTTTTTGTGCTTTGAGGTTTCTTTAGTGATTGAGTTGATTTACTAATGTGAGGTCACTAGCCTCACGCCCATTGTTTTCACTTTATACGGGCTTAGGATCAACTAGTAAACCAGGAGAGGTTAGTACCGAAGGAGTGTTATACAGAACTCAAAGCAGCAACTAAAGTAAAAAACATTGAGTCCAACACTTACTCTATGCTTCCACATAATTCATACACTAACAACAAATAGCAAGTCATTGTGATTCCCAGCAGTTTTTCATCTCACCATCAACCAACTGAAACGAACGCCACAGAACTTCGAAATCAAAAGGGAGGCTTTTTCGATGTGATCGTGTGAAAGGCCGAAGTTTCATATCTAACTGTGAAGGCGGTTATGAGATATGCGTAAGTGACTCATATTGGTAAGATGGTCGAAACCAAAGTAAATAGGTTGATTTCCGTGTATCCAGAATATTGGTGTGTCAGAAAATGAATTACAGCTACCGTACAAACACTCGACATGTGTGATTGTCAAACACAAAATATTCAGTGAATCTGATGCTCTGAGTTAATAATCAATACACACCTCACGTATTTTAACAAAGATGAAGCTAGGAGACCAATACGTCATATTTCTGGTGTTCACATGTCTCGGTAATGACTTCTTTCTAGACGGATTTTCGAGTAAGCAACTGGTGTCGTGATCAGGCCTTTTTCCTACTGAACAGTTCTCTCTACTGAAACCTATTGAGTAGCATGAGACAAATATTCCCCAAGTGGGCAGTTGTGTGCATGAAACCAATTAGATAACGCAAACCTGTTCATCAGATACTCAAAGGTCTCCGATTCAACGAAACTACTTACTACAGTGTTGAGTTTCGGACGCATTTCTCTTTGTCTTCTTATTCCAAAGTGTCGGAAGCGTCAGAAATACTTAGACATCTTCCGTTGTCATGAAAGAAAAGCATCAGCTGTCAACGTTTACATGAGTTGTACTCGAATATTATGCATCCTCGGTCAGACACATTGTGAACTCTGAGAAACAAGGTGATTTCCACGGCTGAACAAGTATTTAGGCGTTGATTGTGTCCTACAATTCCCCAAATCCACCGTGAATTCTCAGGATTTTGGAGGCTGTAATCTTCGTCATGACAATCACTGTGTGATTATCACAGTGTGATTCACTTCATTTCAAATAGATAAGGATGACTGAAGATGTACACCAACCAGTCCACGAGAATTGGCTAATACTTCAGTTAATCTGCTCACTGAAACACCGGTCACCTGACAGATCCGAAACTCACGGATTGATTATAAGGTGACTTGCAGTTCTGACACAATTCAGATCAGAATTATCATGTGAAACATTGTCAATTGTCTGATATGTGTTATTCTCAAGTCTCGAGGATAATATCCTGAAGCCTGAAGATCTATGTGTGCCTAGAATGTACGGCTCATCCAGCTACAAACTCTCGAAAGCATCTGAAATCTGAACAGCTAATATTCTGCGTCCCATGGTAATTCTGGTCAACTATGTTAGTTGGTATATGGAATGTAGTATTAATTGGCGGAGACAAAGTTTGTAAACTGACCGATAGGAAATCAACTCAAGAATTAGCTAATGTCCACTAGTTTGGTGAGTGCATATATATGTCGGATAAAATCAAATTCTACGACACGTCCACACCTAGGAAACATGTATTCATTCATACAACAGTAACGGTGCACATATGCAGTTATGCTGGAAAGCGCATGAGAGTGAGAGATAAACAGTACACCAGGAAAACAGTAGATTACAGAGGGATATATGGCATTTCAGAAGATCAGCTTCGTTTAGAAATGATATATTACTCCTTCTATCTCATACAGAAAACAAGTAAATACACGACATTCTGTCGAATCGGTGAACAGACTAGCATCTTCAAGTCTACCTCCAATGGATCCGGTTGTCGCAATTTGAAAAGTGAAATATTGACACTAATGCCGACTTATCGTTAGCTCTCAGTCAATGACACCTTCGTTTAAACTCTTCAGAATTTCATTCAGATATCGAGATTTAATATGCTGTTCACATTCACTAGTCTTCTTATCAACTCACTTCTTTATTGACATCTTCGCTATCGTTGATCCCTTTCATTTCATCTGGACAGACCCTTGCATAATTAGGCAGTTAACTCTGGTTATGTTTGATTTTGTGTCGATTAAGCCGAGATGAATACTGGCTAGTGTTTCTATGCGATCACTGACAACCACCTAACAATTGCTTGTATCATTCCTACTGGAATCATGATAACTGACAATCCCATGACTATCAGTCTGTGTTTACTCGACATCAGTCCACTGGAGAGGATATTGCATGTACCTTTGACGACGACGCATTATTATTGGTGTAGCTTACGTGTGGTTGAGCAGTGCTACAACACACGATTGACTGATTGATTGACTGCAAATTTGAGTAATTGAAGAAATGGTTGACATTCCGAATAGTTGGCATATTGGCAATTGTCTTCTATGTAGTATCTAGTCAGCTGATTTCGGAAAAATAATGTTCATAGCAACAAATTCAGGGCGAAATAATAATTCATGGAAATCCCCGTCGAGACATAAAGAAAATCAGCACATGCACCTGAGTGAAGAGACTTGTTTCAAGGAATTTATTATGAAGCTATGTAATCGTATAAATAAAATTATATTTCCGGAAAGTGAATCGAATCATTTGAATAAAAATTAAAACCACACGTAGAGCAACAATTATTCTGATGAATGTTAATGTCTCCTATCAGCTTTAGTACAATACTGACTTATTTCTCCCGCCTTCCCTCAATTCAACCTCAAACTGATCAAGCTGTCTCGACTCGAATGGTGACGCTGAGAATATGTGTTCACAGAGAGAAACTCACTACTACCAACCTGCTCTTAGCTTTCAGTCAATACCTTCTTCGTCTTAAATATTCCGAATTTCATCCCATATTTTTGATTTGACGTGGTGTTTGACGATTAAATACGATTCTCTCTGTAAAGGGGAAATTAGCATCTGCGAAGATTAATACCTGATATCTGCACGAATATCATTATTGTTTCAACAGAGTCGTATCCGTGCACGAAAACATTCATATTGAATAGCGTGTAAACTCACAAGTTACAATGAAAAGCTGCACCACCGAATGACAGAATGTGTTATAGTCTTTATAGATGTTTAAAGGTGGAAATCAAAGATTTTGAAATTGTACCATGCTCATAGAAGCAATGATGCCGAGTAACGTCTCCTTAGAATGTGAATGTCAAGATTTGCAGCCTTTTAAATTTGAAGCTTGATGTTTTGTAAATGCATCATCCCTCTGCAAAACATTTTACCCTCCAAAGTTCAAAAAATCCATTGATTCATTTAAAAATTCCTCTTGGGGGCGTGGTAAGTGAAGACAAACTCAGGGAATGTACAAGCCGTCTTAAATATCCTTTGTGTACTTATTGGATAGTAGTTGCTCATTCGCCCCACTGCTTTGTAATCATAAATTATTGTGATAACACTTAATATCATGACTTGATCAACATTCTTTGAAAAAATATCCAGTCATTAGCCTCCTTATTAGAAAAGCCTCGTCAAGTTCATTGAAGGTTTCTGAACAAGTAGATGTGAGATGCAACAATCAAAACTGTACGAGAGAAACGAAAAAACATGAGTTAATTTAGAGAGACGGATTATTTGCCTGAAGTAGTGCAAAAGCTCTTTAGTCTCTCTAGTGACTTTCATTTACTGAGCTCAGTTCGTATGTAGCAGGCGTCAGTTGACAGGATTAATAATAGATTACAGTATTATACACTTCACCTTTAAGTACAACGATTTATAGCCTTTACCTCAAACGAACAGGTGTTCTCTATTACGATGAAAGGAGGGTTGTTATACAGCCATAACACCATCTTCAATTATGATTCCTCAAGAAGATGTCATTCTTTATCCGTGGAGATTAACACTGATCAATCGGTTGACCCAAAATGAGTTACATTTATTAAGCAGAACATAATTCTTATTGACGTTTAAATGCTCCAGGCAGCTTATGAGATTTGAATCGATCAGATTAGTTCTCCTGAGGATATATATGCACATGTGAATGTTCAATTCGACGGTAAACAGTTGAGCTATCCCATTGTTATTCTCATCCAACATGAGATTAAGATCAACAGAAATGCATTTCATTCGACGTCCACCATTCATTCTACTATGCATGTGCTTCATCCTACTTTCTCGTGTCAATGGAAGAATGAACGACACATTGAGAAACAAATTTCTCACCCTTCACAATGATGTAAGACAAGCTGTTCGGAATGGTCAACTCAAAGGACAACCGACAGCCGTTTCTATCGAACCAATGGTAAGATAAATCAGTATCAATTAATGTATTTATATATATATATATATATATACCCTACTGAGTACTTTCAATGATGTCTGAATAGCTGATTTTTGTGCTGGCATGTTTCACGGTTGAATACAATCCTTTATAAGACTTTGGAGGCCAACAATAGAACATTACCGAATTCATCAACCGTGATTGATGCATGCTAGTAGGCAGGCTTTACTCCCATTTTTCAAATGGTTGAAGTACATATGAACACGAAATGCGTATTTATTGTCGAAATTCCCAAATGTTTTCATGACACAACATTTTTGAACTGATACAATTATTAAATGGGTGGTATAGTTATCTCCACACACCTTTGTATAACGACTTCACTGAGACAGTCATTAAGATTTAAGTGGATCTTATGGATTCCAATTTCAAATATTTCAGAAATACAATCTGGAACTGGAAAAGAAGGCACAAACATTATCCGAACAGTGTCGTGCCGGACATGACAGAGCTGTGGACAGAAAAGTTTCCCCATTTCAATATGTTGGACAAAATTGGGCAGGTGCAGGGACAATCGAACTGTAAGTGACTTTCGTCTTCCTTGTAAATGATATCATTCTGACTGCCTAAACGTTGCAGTATATTTGATGAAAACACTAGTAGTAATGTTTTACTCCTTTTGTTGTGCAACAAATTGATCTATAAGATTATTTTTATTGTCTGTTGCTTCAATTCCGAATGAAACAAGGGCTACACGGAAAAATGTCTCTAGTGTGTTGTCCTCTGCAGGTTTTTCAAGCCCATTGTAGAATTGTCCATAAACTTTCATTTCGTCTTCGCGGGATCACTATGAAATGCTTAAACCCACACCCAACTAACTCATCACTCCCGTTTCGGGTACCATTCTAAGAACTGGTGTGTGGTGTCAATCGAATGTCTCCTTAGAGTATGACCAATCAATCTGCATTTCCTTCCGCATCTTTCCTAGATATTAAGTTCTTGATTGGTTTATTGCTGAGTGCTGTAGATCCTTACAGTGATTTCATAGTAATGACCATCTGTCTTGCTTTTCCAACTCTGACTGGCTTTGACACCCTGCTTAACGGCTTGCTTAAACCTTGGGCTACCAAAATTTTCTGTCACTTATATTGCATCTGATTGCTTGGATTTATTTTGTTTGAATTATTCAATGATGTGTCCAAATCGTATTACTTACTGTCGCAATTATTTAAAATGTTTTCAACCTGATGACTTACGAGTATATAATAACCTTAAGAGAAAGTATCACGGTGGGTGGTAAGGATCCTTTAGGCGTACTCCAATGCATCCGATGACTGTTCCTGTGATTACGAGCGCAAATTGCAGGTCATTATCGAACAAGATTAATTACTTGGATGCTCTATTATGTTCCTATGACCCTTGCAAAATTGATGACACGGATATAGAAACCAAGTCTGAAATTAAGTATCTTGGATTAGTTCTTTCTTCTGACCTATCCCGGTCTTCCCACGTTTTAGGGATTTCTAAAATGATATTTTGTCTGACTTTTTACATAAAGACGTTGAGGCAATCAGGCATAACCCAAACCCTCCTCTTACAGTTTGTCAACTCGCGTATTTTACTTATTCTTCTTTACTTTTCACCCACATTGTTTCCTGGATTGCTTAAAAAAGACTATGTCATACATCGTAGAACTCTGAAGACTGTCAGTAGGACGAGTAGTACCCCATTGGGCCATATCGTTGACATTGTCACGGATAGGCACTTGGTGTCATGTGAAAAATTTGCTAAAGGAATTTTGTCAGACTCTGAGCACCCACTCTACCCGCAGCTCCTACTTTCTGTCTCCACAGGTAAAACAAGAAGTCTTTTCAGAAGACTTTATGCATGTACTTCTAAGTTTAAAAATTTCACTACACTTGGAACGTACTTTATGTGATGAAAACGGTGTCAGGCATGAACTAGCTAACCTTCTTTGCACTACTAAATAAACCATTTCTTCCACCCTTACAGAACCAAACTTTTTTGTTATTGTATTTCTTATATTTATAATCCTCTCAACTTTTTGGTTTTGTTTGTTTTTTATTTTTTTAATAAGTGTGAACATAATTTAAGCTGTGTTATAACTGTTAATTTTGTATTTCCCTAACTATACTACATCAACAGAACATTAGATTCAATACTCTATAGCAACATGCTAAAATTTTCAAACTGAATCGACAAAACTGTTTGAAACGAACTCATTGTTATTACTATTATTTTTTATATTTAATACTCTCAATTCGTGCTTCGAATATTTTTGACTTTATATCGTAAACGTGGACAAATTCCTCTGGTTACTTTTGTTTTAAGTTTTAATTTTATTTATATTTTAAGTAAATCAGATGCGAGATGTTGTGACAAATGCTGAGAATTCCATTCTGTATTATAAGTACTGTTTTTTGAATAAAGTAAATTATTATTATTACTATTATCTGTACCACCCATAGTTTAAATAATGCTGCCGACGTACCTATGAAACAGACTGCTTGTATTAGATTTCTCATTTTGATGATGACTGCTATTGTTTGTTAGGTATTTCCATCTCTGATGCCTTACCTATGTTAACCTGAAGTCCTATCTTTAACGTTTCTCTCACCAACTTGTAGATATTCACTCGTATATATCTTTCTTTGTGAGACACCAGACATAAATCACTTGCGACATGCATATCTTATAGGATACTTTTGTGAGTCCAATGTATGTATGCCGATCTTCACACTTGAGAAGTAATAGCTGTGTTCTGCTTGATCAGAGTGGGGAATAAGTTCGTAATTATGCTGTTAAAATTCAGTTATTCTGTGAGTTACTGTCCATCTTCAGGTCAGATATGAATAAGTTATGATATGACATTAAACCGAAATTCGTCATGTGCTTGGTACCACTTTAATTTGCTGGTCAAAAAATGTAACAGTTGCTCGGGTAGTTCATGCTTTTCCATTAATGTTATACAGTTCTGAGCTGGGCTCATACTAACCCAAGAATAGACTGCACCAGTTCATAATACCCTTCACAGTAAGGCCTGCTTACAGACAACCGATTTTCATGTAACTAGGTGCCAATAAACACATTTTAGAATTCAGAACAACTACACATCAATCTCTGCCACACCTGTTTATGCACAAAAAGATAAAATTTAAAAATACAGGCAATAAATGTTCAATCACGAGCGATTCAAAAGGTTATTCAGATGTTAGCGAATGCTTACAGATACAAATGAGGTTTTGTTTCTATACCGTATAAGTTTTTGGTCCAATGAGATGAGATCTACATTCAGTGTTATTGAATACATGCTGTTCGTCGTTTGAATCCCATACATTTGCGATATTCTGTGTTATAACACCTAAAGTTCTCCGAATAGATTCCAGTAAAATAAGTAGTAATTAACCTCACTTAGTTGAAGGAACTGTCGGTTGTCCAAGTGAAAAGCATGTCATGGAGTGATTGATATTTAAATGTCATTTATTCATACCCTGGATAATTTATTGTTTTAATTGCTTCGTCTGATTTTTGTTCATTTGTAAACAAGGGGATTCAAATCATGGCTGGATGAAAATAAACATTATGATTACTTCAAAGTTATTGTGGAGAAGGTCAATGTAATGAATATACACAGGTAAGAGTTGTAAAATGTGTACAGAACCATATGATTAATACGCTTGATACTTTGTTAGCTAATTCTATGCGTAAGTATTATAGAGTCTCGATAGCCTTCACAGTTAATATATATATGTGTAAAACTTGGGCACTGCGGCAGTAAATAATTCCACACTAGTTTGTTTATTAGATGTATCACACAGTCAGTGAAACAATATTATTTACTGGATGACGCTTCGAACAGAATTCATTGTTCATAATCGTATCAGTGATAATCATATGACCTTGAAATTTGAGTTTTATAGTTTCCCACAAACTTAATTAGAAACAAGCTTTGTCGGTTAAAGGATCGTGCCTGTGCAGTCTTTTAAACAAAACAATTTAGTTTATCTAATACCCTGACTGTGGTGATTGTCAGGTCAAATGCGTAGGTCAAAGTAGTAGAACAGTGGCAGTCAGTCAGACTAGCCGAACTTAAAAACCTAGCAAAATCTCGATTGGTTGACCCGAAAAAAGGTAAGAAATCTAGAGAATAGTTCAGCTATACCACTCACTGCATGCAGTTACACACAACCATACAATAGGATGGGATAGGATGACACTTTTAAAATCTAATGTCACAGGGTGGGGGAGAGATTGATAACAGAAGCTTTGTTTTTTGAATTAACTGCAAATACATGTAATAGGAATAATTCAACACCTGTCAAGGCATATATTTGGAAAATTCTACTACCTATACGTCAAATAGGAGAAGACAAAGAAAACTATAAAACTCGTTTCAAAGTCGAGTGATTACAAGTGATATGATTATGAACAATGAATATTGTTCGAAACGCCATCCAGTGAATAATACTGTTTCACTGTGTGATACATCTAATAAACAAACTTATATTGAAGCCTTCACAGTTAGCTTTAAAAATTAATAGAAACATCAGTCAGTGATATGAATTTCAGCATTGCTAAATACTAGTAATTGTACTGCAGGACAAAATTAAACTTTCGGTTGTCAATTCGAACGACGTACATCAATTTGTACACCCGTTTCACAGATACTAAATAAGTTGTACTCAAGCTAAGGTGTACCAATACAGTACGAAGAGCTTGTTACGATATGACTGAACTTATAAATGTTACTTCAATTTAACTACAATGTATATATATATATATATATTCTTGAAACAAGGCATACACGCTGGATGTTTCAGACAGACTTTTAAAGGATAACATAATTCACATCTCACTCCCTTCTTTTCATTTAGATTGTCTGGGAAGAAACTACCGATATTGGTTGCAGTGTAACAGAATGTCCCAATTCACCGTTCAAACTGAGCATTGTATGCAATTATGGCCCTGGGTAAGTCATCAGAAAACTGACTAATGTTAACTTACACTTTCTACTGCTACACCTAATAAATACGCCACTGTGAAAAGTGATGAACATCATTGAAATCATTATTAAGCATTCTCAGAACTGACTTACACTTATAGTCCCAGTCAACTGTCCAGATGAATTCACCTACAATACTTCTTGGAGATTTAGTCATAGACAATTACACATTTTGGAATTGATAGTGTTCTCTGAGCTCCTTGGTTTAATTGCGGAGCTTTCATCATGAAGAAATTTAAATCATTTCACTTTATCCTAAATACTGCGCTGAAGATGTCGTCCAGAAAGACGATGAAAGCTCCGCAATTAAACCAAGGAGCTCAGAGAACACTATCAATTCCAAATCATCCACCTGAGTTACAAATCTTTTCTATTATTTCAAATTACACATTTTCTCAGCATACTCACTGAAGACTAATCTCAGAAGTGAATTGGACACTTCATATGAATACCAACTGGTAGACACAAAAAGTGCAACAATATATATTCACAACACTGTTAGGTGTAGACAAATTCTCAATAGTTCGTCAACAACACTTCACTTATAATACTTGAAAATGATCCAATTTATTATGACTGACCATTCAAAGTGACCGATCAATGAAACATTTATAATAAACAGAAATCAAACCTTGAAGCTTAAACTTTATTTAGGTTGTATACAGTTTTTCGTAGATTGTTGGAGTTTTCACTTCAATTCACAAACGAATTTTTCCAAATTGTGTGTTAAGATAGATACTAACAGATGAGTTGGTTGACAGCAGCACAGTTTTGAGAATTGAGAGAATTGAAAATTCATCAGCCAATCAGCACTGAGCTGCAGGTTGAATGGCCTACCTGCTCACCTCACAGCCTGAGAGTCATGCGTTCGATCTCCGGTAAGGTTGTTAGCATATATCGGTGACAAGGAGCAAACTACGACCAAAACTCTAACCGTTGGTTCCCAGTATTCAATAGTACTTTCAATTTAACACACCGGTGACAAAATGTATCACAAAAATCTAAAGGAATAGTTAATAAAATAGTTATTTTCACTCACGGATCACTATATTATTTTCATAAATAAATGACTGATTTGAGATTGATTAATTATTCAAAAATATGGATCATATTCATAAAAAAGTTGTTCAGATAAAAACATTGAATGGTCTTCATTTAACGAAGATGACAGACAATAAAACGTACTATTTCTTCGTAAGATCAACCATAAAAATGAAAAAAAGGACACGACAGATTAGGTACACATGTCTAAGACACCCACATGCAAATCAAAATAACCAAAATAAAATCGACACATACAACGCATATCAGAAACTCTAAAAGGTAACGATACTGATAATCCAATCACAGAAACAATATGTAATACAACCGAAAAAAATGTCCAAATAAATTAAACGAAAGCTAAACTAATCCTAAAATGTAACTTCAAATTCTCAATTTCAGCGGAAATTACGTCGCCGATTTTCCATACAAAATAAACGCAAGCCAAAAGAGACCATGCATCAAAGAAAGCCCAAAAATAAACTCAACAGAAACAGATGAATTTTCAAGTATTGGTTTTTTGTAGGGATTTTGTTTGATTTGATGAAACAACCAATACAAAACAAAAATTAACAACAACAACAAAAGAAACCATCAAAACAACAACTACCAAGACAACACCAAAGAAAGCCAACATCACCACAACTCAGAAACCAACCACCAGAACAACAGCACCACCACATACAACCACCACCAGAACAACAACAACTACCAAGACAACACCAAAGAAAGCCAACATCATCACTACTCCGAGACCAACTACTAGGAATGCAGGGACACCTTCAACCCCTGTCAATTTGGTAGAATTTTGTGCTGGGTTGTTGAATAATTAATTTGGTTTTCTTTTTCTTTTATCTAGTTTTATACTTCAGTTAACGGTTTATGTTTTCTTCAGTCTTTAGCACCTTTACTATTCATATTCGGCGTCACTTTTCTTTGCCGCTTCTCCTTATCTGGTGATTGTTTCTTTTACGTTTACTCTGCTTGCTGCATTATATGTTTTCTCGGATTCACACACGCCATGTGTAATAAATATGGAAATGTTTCCGTACATGTTCTTTTTCCTTCTGGTAGTTTGTGGGAAAAGGATATTCTAGTTTGTTTGTTTCTACGTTGTCAAAATGGATTTTTTGTATCGTTTAGATGGGCACTTGTGAACAGAGTAATGACATATAATGGGAACAAACATTTGTGAACAGCATGTTAAATCTCGAAATCTGCAGGAAATTCTGTAGAGTTTAAACGAAGGTGTCATTGACTGGGAGCTAAGAATAGGTTGGTAATAGTGTCTATATCTGTGAACACATAAACTTAATTTCACTTTTCGAATTGCGATAACCGGATCCATTGAAGGTAGACTTGAAGATGTTAGCCAGCTCGACAGAATGTCATGCATTGGCTAAGTGTTCTGTATGAGACAGAAGGGGAAAAATGTCACTGCTAAACGTGGCTGATCCTCCGAAATGTCATCTTTTCCTCAGAATGAACGAAATAATCCAATGTCGAGTTAAAATAAAAGGTGTAAACAGCAAAGAAAATTTTCTTTTCGACGATTCATTTTCATGAGCTGTATAATCGTAGTTATATTAAACAAAGAAATCTTAAGACCACTCAAATACAGGTTGACTTTGTCCTCGAAAATTGTATTACGTAATGTAAGGTGTAAGACGCGATGAATAGTTGTAAGTTAGGAAAGAGGCAGAAGTTGGCATGACGTATTAACTGTGAGATAATGACCAATCAATAAGCTCGTATAGAATAGATAGGAATCAGCGGAAAGGCGATAAAGTGTGTTTCTATAATATCTGTATGAAAAGGCAAAGTTATAAAAAAAACAGAAATAGAGTGGTAATAAAATATGGATGATGGGAATAATATTGCTAATGAGAAACTAGTAAAACAAATAATAATACTGAACTAACATAATAAAAAGAAGAAGCGAAATTGTAGTAAGAACTTTACTCTGGCCACAGTAAGGCGAGAGAATGTGTGCATCGCTATTGAATGCAGATATCCGGTTTCAGATTTTGAATAGCTTATGCTTCAGCTAAGAACAGATGGCGTATTCGAATTCCCTTTGTACGATATTGAGGGACTCTGTGTAGGTCTGTGAAGTATTCATATCGAGGTGCTTGCTATCCAGAGATTACAAGGTGTTCGAGGATATAGCTGCTGCAGTTCTTCTTTCCTCCTCTGGCCTACCAAAGTCTACAGTGTTCCAGAATACGTTTGTGGACTTGACGAAGCGTGCGGTCAGTACATTTTGCTCCACTAGAGCAAGGAAATTGACAAATACACAGTGAAGTAATGAAAAGTGGTACGTGATCCTTAACGTTAAATTGGATTAACTGTCTGCTGAAAAGTGTGATACGTAAGGTGGCTGTTGGAATTGTCTCCTTCAGACATTAAGAAAGGCGATTTCTGAGAATTCCCGTTGCGATGTCACCTTTGAATTCCAGGTTCATGAAGAGAGTTCTCTTATGAACAGATACGATCTTTAGCGACGGAGGATTATCTTTCATGCATCTTATCTTGTGTACGAATATTCGTAGATACTTGCTCTCTAGTGGGGTTCCACATAATCAATTTAATTTTTTCCCTGTCATGTCTTCCGAATAGGTATTTCAAATCCTTCAAATTAATATAGCTACCACATTTCCCTTTCGCATCAGTGGGACGAAGCTCTCAAAGTTGATAAACCGTCCCGTTCATGTTGGCTTACGATATATTGATCTTTGGATCAAACAGTCGTGTCTTCTGGAGAGTAGGAAATAAAGGTGTAAGCGCAATATCGCTTGAAATTAAGTCACGCGTAGATGAAGGCTATCCCGGTCCACAACAAACAAGAAGCTGGTCACTGTTTCTACGGTACTATTAATAAACAAATCAATAATTATTTATACAACAAACCTTAACGGTTTTAAGAGTACAAAGCACAACGCTTAACAGAAAGCAAAGTACCGCTATCAGAGCGGAATAACGTTAAAGCCAAAATTGCGAACTAGCCGGAATCAGACTCGATCGTTCAGGCAAGCGGTTAGTAGAAGAATGAACCCAAGTAAAGCAGACCATAGAACAGAGAGCGGTTAAAAGATAGACAGAGCATAGGTACAAAAAGGGAATTTAATTGGCTGCTTAACCAGGTAGGCTGATACAGATGAAGATCAATAAATAAGATAAATTCTACAGAATAGTACAAAGTAAGACATGGGTCAGCGAAAAATAACAGTTCACAAAATACTCTGATTGGGTCATGAGTACAACTATCTGACTAAACGGATCGAGGTAAAAACACATACTGTGTGTATGTGTTTAAACAAGGGGGAATAGATACGTTAGGCATGGATAATTGGGTTGCAACAACGCTAGGCTGATCCGGGACAGGTTGACTTGTTGAGTACGTAACAATGTGATTGTACACTTTTTGGTTACTTGTATAAATTCGAGATATTGTACATAATTTTTGTTTAAAACGCTTCTTGTTGAAATATACATAACTTCCGTGTACAATTGAAAAATACACTCTGCTGTTGGAGACTTCGTCTTCTCCCTGGTCACTTCTGCTTACTTGCTCCACTCACACCGTGTTGTATACTTCGGATTTATTGTAGGAGCCTACTACTTTCAACCGAAGACATTTCTACAACCGGAACACAGCAGCTACAGCAGACGCAGTCCAAACAGTTAACGTGCCTGTGGATTATATAATTAATTTGTAGCCGAGGACTTATACTTTATAACCAAGTAATCCTTTTTGTTGCTATAACTCGTCACTGTATTTTTGGTAATATATTGTGATTTAACACTCCACTGACTTGGATTATTACTTTTATATTTGGAATGTTAGTGAACTCTAATATTAGTCCCCTAC